ACCACACGGGTGTTGGCGTCCCCCAGGGACGCTTGGCGGGTGGACATGGGTGTCTCTTGGTCACACACTGCTGCGTTAGCCGTTTAGTTGAATCATCTGTGATAGAGTTAAAACTGATTAAACTTCAAATAAAAGGCTGCTACATCCTAATAAAACTTCTTACTTTGACCAGATCTACTTAAAAAAAAAGCCAGAAACGTGTCATCCCTTTTACTTTAGAAAATATTTTTAGAAAATAATTAATATTTTAAATTTAATTAATACATTTTCCCTTTCAGTCTCCCCTTATCTCTGTAAATCCGCACAACTGGCGTTGTGTACCTCAAGATAAGCCAAAGGCTTTCTGCTCTTTCACTACGTGTCTTTGTTGCTGTGAAACAATCGACACGTTTTTATCGGTGTCAGCTTTAAAACTAAGCTCTGGCCTGTGCCATTTTTTTTTTTCCCCTCCTTTTTTGGGTTTTTTTGAGAGCATATGAAGTACCTGAGAGGTCAGATTAGAACACGTAGCCTGAAGCCTGCCGAAATTAAAGAACGGAGAGGTTTTTGCTTCCTTGCGAGCTAGATGCTGCGATGAAATGACCTGAAAGAGCTGATTTCCTCACTGTGCTTCTTCGCAGGTGGGATTTCAGAAGATCCTGACTCTAACTTACGTCGACAAGTTGATAGACGACGTTCATAAGGAGTTCCGAGACAAGTATCGCAATGAGTTCCAGCAGAAAGGCACCCTGGGCCTCCTAAACGGCACCTTTGATTTTAAAGACGACTTCATGCGCCTCCTCCGGTAGCTGAGCCTGATTTTTCGCTCAAGTTTCTGTTTAAAGCAGAGATAGACGGGAGGGTGTGTGGGGGGGTAGAGCTGGAATTCAGGCTAACGGGCCACCATCCCCACAGGGATGCAGAGGAGAGCAGTAAAGTGCGAGCTCCCACGGTAATGAAGACGTTTGAGCAGTCTCTCAAATCCCAGAAGACTGTCAAGTGTATGATAGAAACCCGAGGGGAGAAACCAAAGGAGAAAGTCAAGAACAAGAAGAACAAAGGTTCCAAAAAGGAGGGTGAGTTGATGGGAGAGAGATATGGAGGGGGAAAAGAAATATTCCCGAGGTCTGTGTCCCTGAGCTCGCGTCGGGGCTCTTCCCATCAGGAACTGAAGCTGTCGCAGCGCCCGGTAAAGCGTCTGCAGGTGACAAGCAGCCCTCTGCAGCCGGAGACAGGGAGGAACTGACCAAGGATGAAATCCTGCAAAAGAACCGGGAGGAATTCTTCAAGAGACACATGAAAGCAGGGGAGAAGTCCAGGTGGGTACCGAGGATGCGTAATTTCCATTTTCCTTGTTTTCCTGCTTGCTGGGAAGACCGGGAAGAGGCACGCTGGGGGTGCTGGAGGGGGTGATAGAGCCGGATCCGTTCCCTGGGAGAGCTCCAGACCCTCCCGTTGGTGAGACTCTCACCACGATCAAAGGGCAGCGGCGCATCGATGCTTGGCTTGAGGGGAAAGTGGCCTGATCCAGGGTTAAAGTTCAGATAAATAAACTCTGGAGACTTTGAATCACCCCGATTTAGCTTGAATTTCTGCTTTTTTGGGTATCCAGGCCTCTTATTTTCATAAAGAGGCGATGGCTGCTGCTTCACCGCGCTGAACAAACTGTGGTTTTTTTGGTCTTTATTTCAGCAAATCTCCAAAGCCTGATGCTCAGAAGGAGAAGGGGAAGAAGCCCCGAGTGTGGGATCTGGGGAACTCTAATGCCAAAGTACTCGATTACAGTAACTCCGCTACCAACGGAAGCGCGGAGGCTTGTCCCGTGGAGGAATTTGACCCCGATATAGTAAGGAAAAGTCAGGTCGCGGTGGTGTTCTGGGATCAGGTGGGCGTTGCAAACCCAGCCTGGTCTCCACGGCTGGCTGAGAAAGTTCTAGAAACGCGGATCATGGTGCCCAGCCCGTAAAGCTGCTGCCTAAAGGACATTTTCACCAGCTGCAAACGGCACTGGATGGGGTCAACTCGCTGAGCCCTCGTGGCAAAGATCTCTGTGGAGCTGCCTCCACCGCTAACGATAACCGCCGTCGCTTGCCTGTGACTGCGGAAGCGGGCAGGGGCGATGATGGTAAGCGCGTGCCGGTTTTCAGGGTGCGTCTTTTCCCCCCCTCGCAGGCTCTAGGGGATCGAAATCGGGAGCCCGGCCGCCTCTACGACCTGGAGTACGAGAGCGATGATGAAGCTGAAGAGGAGAAGGTTATTCAGAACCCTTCGAAACCCAGGTAGAGGCTCCTGCTTGCCTTGATTTCTTTTCCGTAACTCCCAGTCTAACCAGTAACGCAGTAGTGGGGATAAATTGGTGTTTGTTAGCTGCGCGGCAGGCTGCTTTTACACCTGGTCGTTGCGTGCCCTATGCATCTCGCTCCTCGGACCTAAAGGTAACTCCTCTGCTTCTCTGCAGCGCCAAGAAAGGCGGCCTGGGGGGCATGTTCGGCATGCTGAGAGGTCTGGTGGGCTCCAAGAGCTTGACAAGAGAGGACATGGACCCCGTGCTGGAGAAGATGAAGGATCACTTGATCGGTATGTCCGGATCTGCTGGTTTGAGGTGGTTCCCCGCGCTCCCTCGGGTGGGCACTGGTGCGGGGTTGTCCCCATAGTGCAGCCTGTCGTTGCCAAGCCGTGGTGGGTTCCTGGGGAGCCCTCACCAGCACATCAAAAGGGGGGGCAACAGTCTAATCCAGCGGGGATCCCACATGCTGACTCCATCCTCCCCTTGATGCTGACGTCCAGCGTGCATTGCCTCCTCAGAAGCGCCAAATCCATTCTCTCTCTCTCTCTCTCTCTCTCTCAAAGCAAAAAACGTGGCAGCTGAGATTGCCGTCCAGCTCTGTGAATCAGTGGCTAAGAAACTGGAAGGGAAGGTGATGGGAACGTTCACCAGTAAGTGAGCGCGTGGCCTCACGCCTGTGGTTTGGGGCTCGGGAGCGTTCCCCAGGAGCTGACAGGTTGTCTCCATCTCCTCATCCCCAGCGGTGACCTCGACGGTGAAGCAGGCCCTGCAGGAAGCTCTCGTGCAGATCCTGCAGCCCCAGCGCCGCGTGGACGTTCTCCGTGATGTCATGGATGCCCAGCGTCATCGCCGACCCTACGTGGTCACTTTCTGTGGCGTCAATGGCGTCGGGAAGTCCACCAACCTGGCCAAGGTAGGACACAATTCTCCTGGCTCTGCGGAACCAAGGGATGAGGTCAGACTGTGGCTGCTAACAGACTTTTTTGGGTTTGGTGGTTGTTTGTTGTTTGGTTTTGGTTTGGTTTTTTTTCCAGATCTCATTCTGGCTCATCGAGAACGGTTTCAGCGTCCTCATCGCTGCCTGCGACACCTTCCGTGCAGGAGCGGTGGAGCAGCTCCGCACCCACACCCGTCGCCTCAACGCCCTGCACCCTCCGGAGAGCCACGGTGGGAGGACCATGGTTCAGCTCTACGAGAAAGGCTACGGCAAGGACGCCGCGGGGATCGCCATGGAGGCCATCTCCTATGGTAAGTGGAAAACCGGAGGTGGGAGACGTCGTTTTGGGGGAGCGTCCTGCTTAACGGTGTCTCCTCATTCTCCAGCACGGAATCAGGGCTTTGACGTGGTCCTGGTGGACACGGCCGGCCGCATGCAGGACAACGCTCCCTTGATGACAGCGCTGGCTAAACTCATTGCCGTCAATGCTCCCGACCTGGTCCTGTTCGTTGGGGAAGCGCTGGTGGGAAACGAAGCCGTGGATCAGCTGGTGGGTGCCGAGGGTTTGTTTCCTGAAAGACTGAGGGGGGAAAAAAAAACAACTTTCTATAGCTTTTAGTGGAGATTTGGACAAATACGTTTCTCTGCTCTATTTCCTTCCTCAGGTCAAGTTCAACAAGGCCCTGGCTGATCACTCCATGGCCCAGACGCCACGGCTCATCGATGGGATTGTCCTCACCAAGTTTGATACCATCGATGACAAGGTAAGGAGCTTCGCGCTGGTGACCGCAGCTGGAGAGATGGGAATTGCCGAACGTGGGGCGCTTCTGCGCCATCCCCCGCCACCTTCTTGTGTTTAAGCCATTTAAATGCAAAAAAATTTAGCGGTCTGATTCCCACGTGCATGGAAAACGGGGCCGTGAGGTTTGTACGCGTTACCACAGCAGGGCATAGAGTGACCATATAGATCCAAGGCTGAGTATTTGATCAGTTTTGGCGCGCTTCCCCGAGGAGGTAGCGGTGGATTTGGAGGTTAATGGTGCTTGCTGTCCTCCGCAGGTTGGTGCCGCCATCTCCATGACCTACATCACAAGCAAACCCATTGTTTTCGTTGGTACTGGACAAACGTACTGTGATCTGCGAAGCCTTAACGCCAAGGCTGTGGTCGCAGCGCTCATGAAGGCCTAAAAAAAAAGAAAAATCCACCAAAATTGCTGTTTGCCGATGTCAGAGAAGAACATGCTTTACCCCGTTACCGACTAGTCTTTCCCGTGTAGTGCAGAACAGAATGAAGGGATAACCGGTGCAAGGGGTTATTTTTTGGGGGATAAAACCCCTTTTATCCAGCAAAAAGCCCTTCCCCTGGCTTCCTTCTTTCTGTTTTAAGTGACGCAGGCTCCCTGGAGGGGAGGCTGAATCCAGAGCTTTGTATTGTTCATGCTGCACGGCGGGGGGGGGAAGCAGCGCAAGGACCTGCTGTGCTTTTTGGGGGGGGGTTGAAGGTGGGTTTTTTTGAACTGCTTTTGATTTTTAGACCAGTTTAGAGAAGACAAAGGCATGACTTTGGCAGGAGAGCTGCCGCTTGGCAGCGGCAGCATAAAATCCACGTCGCTGCTAGTGGCAGCTCTACCGAAGCTGATAAACCAAAAACAAAAACCCCAAAACGGCAGCAGTGTGCGCTGGAGATGCTAAATTGCCTTAAAGTCCCTGTTTCTGTTGTCGCCGGCGGCAGGGTACGTGGACACCACGTATTTGGGCAGAAGCCGGAGAGCTGTGGCAGCTTGGTCCGATAGTAATGGTGGAATGAAGGCAGTGTGTCCTTGCCTGTCTCCTGCCTGCTAGCCTCAACGTTATTTGCTAGTAAAAAGGGAAAAAAAAAAAATTTAATACTGGAATCTGATGGTGGCTGCTTGCTGCTTCCTGTACCCTTCTCCCCCCGTCGAGTGCCTCCGATCCCGGTCTGAAGTGCTACACTGAATAATACAAAACTCTCTTGCGATGTCTTGTAGCTCTGTATCGCAGATGTGCTCTAGTGCAATAAATCGAATGCTGTCTGCTAAGAGACATAATTTATATGAAATAAACTTCATAATTTGTTCTCCTTGTATAAATAACTTGCTGCTAGCCAGGATGTGTTTCCTCCTCGGGGAGGGAGACAAACTCCTGCCTGGGTGAGGTGTTTGAGAGGGCTTTTCAATCACACACCAGCCAAAAGTTAAGTGAACAGGCCTTTAATACAAGCTTCAACATACAAAATACTGTACAGTATAAAGACAGGACTAGAAAACTAGAGCTTCAAGTAAAAAAAAAAAAAAAACTGCTCAAGTCTTGTGTTTTTAATTGAAAGTACAGAATACAAAAGCACTAAGTATGAAATTAGAGGAGGCTGCGGCCTCGATAAAAAGAATTAACTATGTTAAACTCCCAGTGTCTGCGTGAGGAGGCTCTGCCACAGCCTCTGGCTTGTGCCCGAAGCGTCCCAGCTGCTGTGCCACCCACGGCAGCACGCTTCCCTCCTCCCCTAGACCAGTCTCAAACCGCGCAGGCCTGCCTGGGGGCTGCTGGCTCAGGCTTAGGCCCATCCTAAGGAGTTCCCCCGCTGCCGCACAGCTCCTGGGGCGAGGCTGACGCTCAAGCGCTGCATCCTGTGGAAACGTAAAGGCAAAGTGGGAAAAGGGGCTCGAAAGGGCGAAGCCTCTCTCGGCTCGGGAGAGTCTTACCTTTGATCTCGGTGTGGGCAGCAGCAGAGCCGTTCAGCTGTTGTCCCTCCTTAGGCAGGCCTAGGAGAGAGCAGAGAGCAAGCACCGGGTGGGAAAGGAACCCCGAGGCGTTGCGCAGACACGGGGAGCCCCTGCACGAGCAGCAAACATTAAGCTGTGCAGCACGTGTGCGGTAGTTTCACCCAACAGGCTTTTTTTGGCTGGGTTTTACCCTCAGAACATGTGCTGGCAAGGTTCTGGGCTAGCAAACTCACTGCTTTTCCCCACTCTCGTATGGTACAGCATTAGCTCAGGCCGAGGTGCGCAAAGGTCAGCGAGACCAAACGGCAAGACTGAAATGCCCTTTCCTTTTCCCACAAAGGGAATAAACAACCGCAGCCGCACGTGAAGAATAACGTTTGGATGCATGAGAAGCAACAGAGCTGTTTAACCGCTATACCTGTTCGTCCCCGCGTGGCGATCTCACTCGTCAGCCTCTCAAAGTACTCGGGCAGGTCTGCATATTCATCTCCATAGGAAATCACTTTGATCCCTTTGTCCAGCATGTTCTCACGGAGCTTCTTAAACTCATCCACATCTCCCCTCCGGACGAGCATGAAGTGCTCCAGGTCTGACTTGTGCTTCACAGCCTCTAAAAACAGGGCCTGAAACGTGGTGTCATCAACAGTCCAACCACAGCCCAAGAACAGGAATGACTTATTTTCATACAGCTTCTGAATCTCTCGCTTTAAAAAAGGGAAAGACGTTCTTAGTCAAGGCAAGCTTTATCTTCGCAAGGCACAAGAGACAGCATCTGCCTTATCACTGATGAGACTCTTCGGGAGTGTCATCGTTCAACCAGCCTAAACACGAGCGCAGTGAGATGTTTTTGCAGGTTAGCGGGCTATAAAATCCATCCCTCCTATTTAACAAAATTAAGGGCTGTCCCACCACCCTGTGTGAAACTCAAGTCTTTAAACTCAGCCGAGTCTACGCCCGGTTAACATACGGGCATGCCAGGGAAGCGGGAGATGTATATACACCGTATATACATATAACATATGGGACCCTCAAAGCGTGCCCCCCTGCCTCACCATGACCTCTGTGTTGCGCAGCACGTTCTGGTACCCGGCCGGGTGGAGCACTATGCCGCTGGGGTTGGTGTAAACGCCGTGGATATGCAGGACGCTAAGCTTCCTCTTCTCTTGCGCCCACTCCAGCACCTGCGCAAAAGAAACCCTTCCAGAAATGTCGGCACGGCCCACAGCTACAGCCTACGGCACTGCTTTGGGTCAGCGCTTCAGCCGAACGGTGAACGTGATGGGAAGACCCCAGATCAAGGCACCAGGCTCAGCAGAAAAAGGGGGAAAAGGCTGTAAATAGTACATCGGCATGTTTCTCAAGCCTACAAAGTTTTATTTCTCGGCCCCTCTAGGCCCTGAGAAGATCTGAGGGAGCTCAACAGCTGACCTTCATTTCAGAAAGCCACTTCTGAGGCTCTCGGTTTACTCCTGCAAAGCTTGCAATAATTAGAATGCTTATTTGTAACGCTGTAAGTACTTCCGGCCACATAGATTAAGAGGCCACGCAGGAAACCTGGAGCACAGAAATGAGTCAGAATGGAAAGAGACCAAGTACTGCCCAGCACCTACACGTGGACCAGTAAAACCCACGGTGGAAAGATGAGGCGGGCAAGTGGCAAAGAGCTCAGGCTTCGAGAGTCTCATTTTCTGCCTGACCGAAAACCTGGGGTAAAAGGAGGGAAGCTTGCGTGAAGTGAGCGACTACAAATACAAGACCATGGCGGAAGAAGCCGGAAAACACACGGAGCGACCCAGCAGGAGCCACCCAGCCATTTCAGGAAGAGGACTCGGGGTAAGGGGAAAGCCTCGAAGCCTACAGCCCCGAGAATGCTCTGCCGCAGAAGGGACTCAGCAGCACGCTGTAAAAATAGAAAGGTCAGCTTTGCGTCTCGCCTGGAGTTTCCCCGTCTTGGTTAAAAACATCAACCCAAGCCTTATGTGGAAGCAAAGCTCGTGGGACTTCAGCAAGGCTGAGCCAGAAGGTTCAAGGATGGAGATCAAAGAAATACCAAGCTTAAGGGCTCCTCCTGAGCAAGGGATGTCAGCCAGCAAGCACAGCATTTCAGAAACAAGCCTTCATCTTCATTCCTCTGCTCACTGCCCCAAATGGTCAGAGTCTCTGCTTGGAGTTTGTCTAACGTCAATTAAATTACTACAAATAGTACAACCCCCTTACATGGGCGCCAGGGTGCATCCTGCAACTGCTACTGTCCTGCGTTGTCCCAGCTCAGCCCTGACAAAAAAATATTATCGACATTTACCTTCTTTTCATCAGTCAGGTCAAGAGACTCCAGATGCTTCCCCTGGTGTGCTGCATACAGTTCCAGCAGGTTATCAAAGTTTGTGGTTAACACAAGTGCCCCGTTTTCCATTAAGTGAAGCACAGACTGAAGCAGCTGCTTCCCAGAATCTTCCATTTTAGATTCCAGGTCATCAAACACCTCGTATAAACAGTCTTTGAAAAAGGTTGAGCGAACATTGCTTGTGCGCTGAGAAGTGGAAAGAGATTAAGATCAGAGTCGGGCTTCTTTTAAAGCTTTGTGCCGAGCGACTCGATGAAAAACTACCCACGTATTTCTCGAAGACCTCCGCAAAGCTACAGGTCCTTGCAAGGCAAAGACAGTGCAGTTACTGCACTGAGGTGGGTCCTCCCTCCCCAGCGTACTCAGCGTGAAACACCCCAAAAACTGGTGTCCTCGGCAGAGTTATATCTCAGGAACCCGACACAGTAACTGCACTAGTGGTTCCTTGTAGACAGAGGAACTGTTGGAGCTAGAGGCATGGCTGGAGAACCAAAGTTGGCTATTTCCAAAAGCCAAATCCTATGCTCGGAGCAGGGGACCGAATATTTATATACAGTGCTACAAGCACACTCACCGGAGACAGCTTCTGGATGAGGTCATGGGCAACGTGAACCAAGTTCTTGTCTTCATGGAGACACTTTTGAAACCGTTTGCTCTCTTCGTCTTCCAGGAGATCAAAGTCAATAGCAGCATCCAGGAGGGCCTGGATTAACCCTTTCCAAGACTTCAGTGCTGGGACCTGGGGAGCAACTGCCGCACTGATTCCCGTCCCGATCACCAAAACAAGTTCCCGAGGCTTCTTGGTTTTGAGGCTTGGCAACAGCTTCCTGCAAGAGGAGAAAGCAGCACAGCTGGTACCAACATAGACAGAAGGATGCCTCAGGTCATGGAACATGCAGACCGAGGACAAGGGAGGTACCTTCTGCCTAAATTTTGAATCAACGCGTCCATTAAGGTCCCCTGATAAACAGAGGGTGAGAGGCGCAGCTCGGTGTTCCTTAAAGACAGCGTGCAGCTCCGCAGATCAGCATCACAAACGCCCACAGTGACAAGGTACGTAGTTACAACATATTTGGCAATCAAGTCCATCCGTTACTGGGGAA